ACTCGAACTTCAATACAAAATTAATTAATTAATCAACTAATCAATAGAATAAATGGATAGGTAAACAAAAAAATAAATAAGTAAATAAATAAATAATGCTGCCGATTCTGACTAATTCTGTTTTCTGCGATTTCCACTGAACTCATAAACAAATGGACAGATCAGAAAACAGTTTAACATCACAAATCATAGTGTACAACAAGGATTATTCAAGAGAACGAAAATCACAGACAGAATGATAAGCGAGGCGATTTGGCAAGACGAAATGCCATCGATTGATTAAAGGCGAAATACCCTGAGTGAGAATGAATGCCAAAATAGACAGTGAGACAATGAAAGTGAACTGCATGAGCGGTGGTGAGAAAGTTTGGAGTGAAGAAGGCAAAGATCGATATGTGTAATCAGTAATCAAAACACAGTGTGGTACAACAACAACAAACAATTATCTACAAAACACTCGACAATCACATAGCAGTTTCTATCACGGGTTTTGTGGTCCTGAATCCGTTATTGGGAATAGGTCTTCTGTACTGGTCCGTGAGGGGGTTGTGGAGATCTACCAAAGACCGTTGAGGAGCAGCTCGCAGGTTCTGCAAGGGAGTGGACGGCGTCGGAACAGGCACCGGTCGGTACTGTTCCGGTCGGTTGTTGGCGGAGAAGCTCTGCAGATTGGGATTCGAGCGACTCGGCGCCAGACGTGGTGCTTGTGGCTCGTATCGACGTGGTGGTTCCGGCTTCGGTGGCAGGAGACGCCGGTTCTGTACAGTGCTTTCCGAGACCGTTGACGACTGTTCGCTCCATGAGCCGTCTGTCAACGTAGAGTCTCGCTCTGAAAATGTATGACATTCTAAGTTTAGGAGAATGAAACAACTAATTTTGCTTCAGAGGCCACCACTTTTGTTGAAGGCATATTCCACTGTTACAATCTGTGGATCTTGGGGTAGAAATATGAAGGAATAGATGTTACGTGATCCTACAGTGAAGAAAGAAGGAAAAATAACTGCCGAAACCGCCGCGATAAGGCACCCTCTTAAGCGATCTATAGCACTGCATGGGATTACAACACAAAAGAAGGCGTGTAGAGAGGCTCATAGACTGAAGGGGTACAACACAAAAGATAGGTGTGTAATGTAATAGACACGACAACGACCAAGAGAGCATAGGGCGAGGGAGACGCAAGCAAGCGGAGCTGCTAAGAGCTGTGAATTATATCACAATACGTCTTAGCCTTACTACAATATGTGCTTAGTTCTCCAACGATCCAATGAACGCTTGCTTATCCTGCTCATGTGGCTTCCACAAACCAACCAAACAGAAAAAAGTCGAGCAGGGAGGGAGGGGGAACGAGAGAGTGAGGGAGGAAGATTTTGTGAAGGATTTCAAGTTCAAGGGGACGACTTCGCATGGTCGATGTTTATGATGTCGCTTTGGGTAACGTGACAAGTACCTCTCTGGCTCAGCCACCTTTCGCTGGTTTGTAGTCACAAGGTATTCAGGAAAAGCCTTCAAGATTATATGGGTTTCTTTATTCCTGCTCTACAAGAGACCCGATTTTTGGCGAACAAAATGGCTTCTACTTCGGTCAGTGAATGCAGAACGAACCTGACTCCGTAGGACATGTGGAACATGGGCCGGTGACGGTGGACGAGCACGACGTGTCGCTGCGCCGGTCTCGCAAATGTACAGCATCACGCGGTGGAGGCTGGAAGGTATTCATCGTGGGAATTTCCTCGTAGGGGTTCGGATTCGATACCTTAGTCTGACAAAAAAATAATGAATTGGAGACCTGTATGAAAAGTTGGCGTGAAAGCTACGCACCTGCTCTTAGCAACTCAAGCCAAGGGAGAGAGAAAAACTAAAGAATTCTGTACCTCATTGACATTCTACCACTGTAGTAACCTTCAGATGAAACATCCGTAGTAGAGGGTTTCGACTTCGAGTAGGAAGTGTAATGCTCGTCTCTGTAATATTGGAGCTATATGGAGGTAAGACGATTTCTAAAAAAGATCAGCGCCAGTTTCCACTGAAATTTTTTTAAAGTTATTCCTTTCGTGAAGAGAGCGCTCGCAATTTGAAACAGCGAAACTTTGGAATTATTTAGCACAACTTTTGACTTTCCAGAAGATCTGTTTCTCAGTGCCCAACACACCACGATACACAGAGTCAACCGTGACGTTCGGCTTTCTCAAAAACGGACCCTCTCATTAGGGGATCTCAATGTGACCCCCCCACACCATGCGCCGGAGCTTGGCAATGGCGCAAGCGTTTCGCACAACGAAACAATAGCGTTTTCATGGATCACATCCCGGGACAGCTTTCAAGCAAATTCTCATGGAAAAAATTAGCAGATAAAAATCCTATTCCTTTTTGGTGCGGCGCAGTAAAGCGTAAATAGTGCCGGTAAAAAGAACATTTAAGTGACCACGGACAACATCAAGGCGCTTTTGATGTGATCACTGCATGATTACCCTGTTTACCGAAGAATAGCTTATCCAAGCGAGTTTTTGTTGATGGTAACGACACTCCTTCACCCATCGTGAAGTGTATATACTTAACGAGGGATCCCCACGACTTAAAAACGAAGGTTCGAAGAGGGGATTATGCCTACGGAAGGGAGGCCGGACCTCGACAGGCGCGGATGACACTCAGTCTGAGCGAAAGATTCGCTTTGCGATTCAGCAGGCCGCACTCTTGACAGTTGCCCGGTAAGCCATCGGCATCTAATCAGCTGTCAGGCCTATACGCGGCGAATGATTAGATAGCAGAGAGAGCATTAGCGTTCAGTAGAGCATAACTATGCAAGTCGCATCCCTGAAATCAACGAGCAAGGAAGGGGTCCCATTTCTCGGGTTAGGTGTTTCTCATGGGTTTTCCCTCTTTACTGGATAATCACCACCCTCATTCATTTGAAATGGGATGCTTCTTAGTAAGTTCACTTTAATAAAGCTCTAAGCATGGATTGAATTGGTGTCAATTTCACGAATCTAACTGTTAGAGCACTCACCTGGAAGTATCGGTAGAGTTCAGACGATCATATGTGCGATCAGTGGATAAGCTATCCGAGCACTCCGTTCGAACAGTTTCAGTGGGCGAACGAGTACTAGTGGCTCGACCGTGAGGCAGTTTTCCTAACGACACTGATGAAAATGCGTGTGACCAATGAGTTAGCAGATGATACGACTGCCGTTAAGAGCAACGAACACGATTTGAATTTCTACTTTCGGCGAAAAAAAAAGGCCATCTCTCTCTACCTAGTAAAGCATCCGAGTTTCATATGACAACAGCTTGGAAGCCATGCGTAGAAATACTGGAAGAACAATGAATAAAAAAAATACATGGCGCACACATGTTTGAAACGCGGTAGTCAATTTACTCGCTCTCTTGCAAGACATGCCGCCCTTTAGTTACATTACCCTTAAAGGCTATGTACACATAAACGAAAGAGATCGGTTCTAGAGTCTTAGGCTTCTTGTGGAACACTGAATTGGATAGCATAAACCGGACCTCTCAAGCGCTCAGTAGTGTTGTAGTCATCAATGATAGGTCGTTTCATAAGTCTTGCAACAAACTACATGCAATGCTATAGAATTTTAGGGAGACCTCCTGAAAGTCGCGCGCCATATATTTCCTGACGTAGCATCAACCTTTGCAATTTCAGCCAATGGTCCAGCTCGTTGTCTGCTTACTTATTATGGATATTACACCGATTTCACGAGAGGGCTCTCGGTGCCCTTATTTTTACGAGTGCTGCTTGGAATGTTCCGCAAGTCATGCTACACCAAGGATTAGCCAGAAGATAGGCGAGGGCATGCTCTCTCAAACCACGGTGCAACGGCGCTTCACTCTGCTCAGCGTTGACTTTTTTATTTGAAAATAACCCACACTCCAACCACCCTGTGACTGACAATCACGATGCTCTATCTGACGCCGTTGAAAAGGGATCTGGATAGAGTATCGATCATTTGCTAGAGCGATTCCGATGCGACAAGGAGACAGCACTGTGGCATCTCCAAAGACTTGTGAAGATCCGAAAATGTAGAGTTTGGTCCCCACGTGCCTTGAGCCCGATTCAGCTCCAAACACGATCTGACACCGTTATGTTCAAGTCGACTTACTAGGGATTCTACGATTGACCATCCATCACATTTGCCGAAGATGAGGAGTGGGTACAGTTTACTAACAAATGAACAAGCGGCGGTAGTCCAGCTCAAACGCTTCGGGAGATCTTATTGCTTAAGTTCAACCTCGTCCAAGTAGGGCCTTCTCGGATTTTTGGTGGAACACGGGAGGAGTTAAGCTCTGGAAACCCCTCCGTGATGTCGCAGTCAACGCGAAAGTCAACTATCCACAGCTCGAATGCAACGCTTTTAATACGAAAGAAAAACAAGGCAAAGTTTGCTTTTGTATGACACCGTTGAAAAACCTCTTGCTAAGAAAATTCAGGAAAATTTTGAGACTCTAGGACGGGGAGTTCTTCTGTATCACGTTATAGCCCTGACCTCGAGGCAAATAATGCCCTTCTGCTCCCCTCTCCAAACCATCTCCTAGAGAAGAAAGCTCATCCTAACTATGATGATGTCAAAATCGACATCTGATCTTTCTTCGATCAGAATTCAGTAGAGTCCTACAAGGGAGGCATCGAGCAGCTACTAGTGTTGGCAATAGGTTGTAGATATTGATGGAGGGTAGCATGCCGGATGAATGGAACAAAAAGATAATGAAAATATTAAATTCAAAATTCGGCCAGTTTGTTGCAAGACTTATGGACCGACCTAATAATATGTCCTTGGGATAGTCTATCTACCAGGGGCTAAGGTAAACAAGCGCTTCAGTTGAATAAGTGTTGTGTCCAACGATTTTCATTATCGAACAATGAGAGATGCGAGTTTCAAGTCTTTTCGCGCGCGAAGTTTGCCAATTTAAGCATTTTGCAACAATTATCACAACATAACAAACCTGTCTGCGATGAACGGGTCCCCGTACGCGTTGATGGTCGATGAGCTAAGAGTGGCCTTTGCTGACTGATGGGAAGGAAGCTGCTTTCGATGAGGAGCCGATGCTTTCCTGAAAAAGTGAGATATATAACGATCTTATTTTTCCTCTAGTCTATCGGAGCTTCGATTACCTCCTCTTGTTAGGCAATTCGAGCTTTATTGTCACCCACCTCTGCAGTTTGATGCTGGCTCTGATGATGTTCTTTCGCTCGATGCTGTCCTCGTTCCTCTTTCGGGACTTGATGCACCAACACAAAGCGAGCAGGAAGAGGATCGCCACCAAAATTGCGACCAACACAACCGCCACCACGATGCCCGCACGCCACATGACCGGTTCGATATAGGGCTGAGTTCCTAAATACTTAAGTCTAGTTTGTCCACAAATCGAATGAACACGTGAAAAGGAAGATCTCTCAAAGAGTGGAGTAGGTTTCGAAACATTCGAAGTGGCCGAAATACGAGATAAGAAGAGCTGGCGATGATAAATTGGTATATTGAACTCTCCAGAAAAGGACATGTCGAAAGACACCAAGTGTTGCCGCGAGCGGTTGCGCGGCAGCTTTTCCAACATCAATTTGGCTTGAGAAGTTTCCGAATTTACTCGTTAATTATCCTAATAAGCCCCCAGAACCGCCTGTGTTAAATGTGTTCTCTATGTATGAAATGCTTGCAACTACTGCGACATAGCGCAATAGGGTTCTGCGCGGCAAATGCCTGACTCTAGGCAGCACCGCCAAAGCACCCACGGCTACATACGTGAGTAAGCTCAACCCTGCCTTACACCAAAACCGATGTATTGCTAGCAAACCCTTCTTGACCCCTAAATTTTCGAAGCTGATGCTGAACAACAGATAATTGAAAGGTTCTTTGACAATAGTAAGAGGAGGAACAAACCTTTCTCACAGACGAATGGCATCAGGTTGTTGCAGTTTTGTGAGCCAATTTTGCCGGTTCTCGAGCTCAACCAGCCACATTGCGTAGACGGAATCGAGACTGAAGAGATCCATACAATGGTGTCCGATCGGACTCTGAAAGAGGAGACGTCAGTTGAAAGGTAATCACGCCTTCGACTCCGAAGACGGGTTATTGGCCCCTAATGAAAC